GAAGCATCCTTTGATGCGACGGGTCATGGATCGATACCTGGATTCCCACCTGGGTAGTCGCGAACGCACATTCGAAGCTATGTGGAGTGGTGTTGAACGAGCATTTCTCGAAGCTCAACATGATGCAAACGCCCAATCAATTCGTGATGATTTGAAAAGGGGTCCCATGGTTGGCAAGAAGCCTGCGCTGCCCAGCACCAAAGGGGACGGTAAATCTAAGGATTCACCAAAGCATGACAAAAAGGACTCCAAAGGTAAGTCCCCGGATAAGGGTAAACATTCAACAAGCGCCAATGAGCAAGACAAAGGCAAAGGCAAGGCAACCAAGGTCCCTACGCCTGAGGAAAAGGCCAAATCGCCATGTATCTACCATTTGAAGGGTCGGTGCACGCGTGGTGAGTCTTGCCCCTATAGTCACGCCGCTCAGGCGCCCCAACCCAAAGCTAAGGCATCCTCTTCAGGTCCTGGCTTAGTCGCCAAAGCTGCAGCAGTGGCAATTTTGGCCACGCCATCTGCGATGCCGTCTAGGTCGACCATGTGTCTTGATGTGGTGGGTGACACTGGAGCCGGGGAGAACCTGGCTTCCGTTGAGGCACTTCGACGGCAAGGGCTGGCAGTTGATGACTTCATCGCTCAGACGCATCATCCTGTTCGTTTTTTAACAGGAGGTGGTCAACGTGATGGTGAGTCCACTCTTGGGTTTTGGTCCGAGGAGTTCCAACGCATGAGCAATTTTTACTTGCTTCCCCAGTGTCCGGTCGCCTTGTCCATTGGTCAGTTGGTTGAGACGGATGGGTATTCCTTCTTGTGGCATCCTTCCAAGCTGCCTATGTTGATTCCTCCCTCTACCCACTTTGACTTTCAGATTGATGGCGCAACGGTTTCTGCTGATCGGGTTGAGCACCATGTTGCCATGTTTCGCCTCTCCGTGGAGTGTACTTATGGCCTCCCTGTTTCTCTTTTTTGTGATCTTCCACTTGCAGGGGGGGGAGCAGGGTCAGGGTCTATGTCGGAAGACGTTGAGGTTTCTGAAGCTGTTCCAACGCTTGAGGAACCAGTGGCGTGTATGGATTCTCCTGACGCTGCAGCTGTGATTCATGGCAGTGACCCTGCGCCTAGCGCGGGCGCTGCCGAGGAGATCGGAGATGGCCCTGCGCCTGGCGCGGGCAGCAGCAAAGATGGGGGTCCTAGCCAAGAGGAAATCAAGGAAGGTGAGGAGATCAGTGGGATTCCAAGCACTCATTTGATGACCCATTTGCCAAAATCAAGGGATTGTGATACTTGCAAAAGGGCGAAACTTTATGAGTCGCAACATCGTAGATCCGAACACCAAAGTAGGAATTTGAAAGACATTCGTATGATCGAGGCTCCCACCTTTTACTTGGAGAAGCTAGCCGTGGGTCACATCATTGTTCGGGATGAAATAGGTAACAGGGGTAAAACATGCGCTTTCATCATGGTTGATGTCTTTTCGGGTTTTACTTCAATGGCACCATGCCAGCATAAGAGCGCAGATGAAGTTGAACGAGCTTTGCGCCGCTTGTGTGGAAAGAGGAAGCCTGATAGTGCAAGTTTCATCGGATAGGGCTCCGGAAATCAAGAAAGCGTTGGTCGATTTGGGGTTTGCTAGCGAACCTTCAGCCCCATATCAAAAGATCAAAAACGCACTTGCCGAGTCCACCATTCGCACCATAAAAGGTATGGCATCCTCAATTCTCATTCACTCAGGGTTGGATTTGCAACATTGGCCGCTTGCTTTAAAGTATTTGGAGTGGGCCTACAACATCACAGCGCCAGCCAAAGGACTTGAGGATGACGAAGAGGAGGATGGCAACCCAAGCAGATATAAAAGGGCCATGGGGTATGACATTGAATGTTTCATGGTTCCGTTTGCTGCGTTGGTTTAGTACAAGAATCCTGATCCCTACTCATTTGGCCCCAAAGGTGAACCAGCTTTGTTCTTGGGTGCGGAGTTGATTGACGGAATGCTGTTTAAAGGAAATTACAGGGTGTGGCCCATGGAACATTTCCATCAAGGGGTATACAAGGAGTTTGTGACAAGAACAATAGCCATACCAAATGGGCAATGGCAATTTCCAGCTTCAAAAGCAGCGGAGGCCCCAGTGTTGGATGCTAGAGCTGAGGAGGAATTGGAAGATATCAGCTATACACCTTCTTTAGCCAGTGAAATTGGGGATGATTTGGGTGAGGGCGAAAGAGAGGACTTAGGGGACCCCAAGGAAGGTGTCTGCCCAGCGCCTGGCGCGGGAGATATCGCCAAGGGGGACCCGAAACCTAGAAGGAACAGGCCCATAACACCCCTCCGTGTGTTTGCCTACGGGAAACCCCCTGATTGTGAAGGTAGACCGATTCAACAAAATGTTGGATGAATATGAGCCGGCAAGGAAACGGGAGAAGTCAATTGTTGAGGAACCGATTGCAGCAGAAACGCCTGAAGCACCTGAAGGGGATCTATTTGGTTTGTCAACGCCCATTACCGGCAAAGAGCTCAGCAATTTGGATTTGGAAAGGGGCCCAGAGGTGATAGCCTCGATCTACATCCATGACTTGGAGGAAGGGAATGGATCTGAGGAGGAGCTATCATCGAAGCTGGAGCTTGCCCTGAAGTCATGTGCGGCGACAACCAAGTCACAGCAAAAGGTTCTAAGAAATGGTTTGTTGAGTTTTGCTGTTCACCCAACAGTTCCTGTTGCAGAGTTGCTGAAGCCTGTTCAATACCATATCTTGGCTTGTCTAAGGACTTTGGTGATTTATCGGATCCTGGTGTGATTGAACAAATCTTGTTTTGGTTCCAAGAGACGGCAAACAAAGGCGAGTCGATTGACTTGTATGGCTCAATTCCATGTGGACCATATTCACCGCTCCAGAATTTGAACATAGCGGTTCAGGGTCGAGAGTATTTGGAGGTCTTGGAAAGCAAACGCGCTGAAACCGAAATCCTCGTAGACAATTTCTATCAGTTAGGCGAGATTGCTTTGGAATCGGGGGGTTCGGTTTCGCTTGAGTGGCCGTTGAGGAATGGGGGATGGAAGCAGGAGCAAATCACCCAAATGATTCTTCATTTCAACATGTGATCCAATTGAAGGTGGTAGCATGGCTAGAAAGTCGGGCATATACAACACCAAAATGGCAATTGCTATACTTTCGGCATTGAATCCTGAATCAGCATTCACTGATGTACCTGCGATGCCCGTCACTCACGGCACGGTTGCGCATCAGGATTGATGGCCCAGCTTGTTTTGGGTATGGTACACACCCCACTTTCGAGACGGGAACTTTTCAATCACCCCCAGGGTAAAGAGAAAATCAAAGAAGAGTCTGATGACATGCGCATATTGGAAGTGTGGGATGACAATGACATACATGAAGTTGAGAGGTTGAAGAAGGCCATGTATGGCCATCCAACGTCAGGAGACGATTGGACACTATACCTGGACGAAGTGATCATCCACAAGCTTCAAGGGGACCGGGTTGAGGGTTGGCCATCATTGTGGCACATCAAATCTCTCAACATACTTTGCGCAGCATATGTAGATGATCTAGTCGTTTCAGGCCCAAAAGAAAATCTGCCTGTCTTTTGGCAAATATTGTCACAGTACATAACTGTAGATGCCATAGAACAGCCAGGAAGATATTTAGGCAGAGATCACCTCATCTTCGAATTTGGAGGAGGGCGACAAGTTCACATGTCCATGTGTGACTACGCCGTCACGGCGTACAAGCTCTGTGAGGATCAGTTTGGGGAAACTTTGAAGGTCTACGAGACGCCTTTTGTGTCAGAGGCCGCTTTGACACAGGAGGGGTATGAGGAGAAAGGTCAATTAGCAGGAAGCGCCGCCCAGCTCTTGATGAAACTCCTGTGGCTGGCCAGGCTGTCAAGGCCCGACCTCAGTTTCGCAATCACGTCTCTGGCTTCCCACATCGCCAAGTGGACCCGAAACCATGACATCATGCTGTATCGATTACTGGGATACGTGAAAGGTTCGGTTGAGTTGGGAATTCTAGGCACCGTTTCAGGAATTGAATCTGTTCCTAGGGTAGATTTGTTCGCGGACGCAGACTTAGCAGGGGACCCCATGACCACGCGGTCGCATAGCGGCCATTTCGTGCTCATACAAGACAGTGAAGGGACTTCTTTCCCTGTTTACTGGGGTGCCAAAAAGCAAACTTGCGTTTCAAGAAGTACAACCGAGGCCGAAATCGTCTCAGCATCAGCGTTGGTGTTTGCCGAGGGTCTGCCGATTAAAACAGTCATGGAACTAGTCCTTGGCCAGGAAGTTGATACTGTGTTGCGCGAGGACAGCAGCGCTGTGCTGTTAATATTGCAGCATGGATACAGTCCTAAATTAAAGTCCCTCAACAGGACCCATCGAATCAGTGTAGCGGCGCTGGCTGAAGTGATTGACCAAGGACTGATCAGAGCAGTACACGCGTCCACTAAGGACCAAAAAGGGGACGTGTTTACTAAGGCACTCGGACGGCTTCAGTTTCTGGAAGCACGACGTCAAATCCTAGTCACTCCTAACCCGAAGACAAGACAAGGTTGACCCAGCGCATTGCGCGGGCAACTAAGGAACACTTTGGGCGCTCATTGCTTGCCGCGCCGCGGCACCTTGGCTCTTGACCAATGAGAATGTGTCGCGGTGGCGGCTGCGGGTGAGCTTTTGCCATTTTACTTTAATCCTTTTCGACTCCCTTTCTGAACCTACCACAGGAAAAGCGGCAAGAATGGCAATAGCGACTTGCGCAGCCCCTTGCGGGGGGGGGGCTGCATGAGGCGCATGAAAGCCAAAATATTCCGCATGAACCTGTGGGGGGGACGAAGTAAACAAGGGGTCTTTTCACTCCGCGGGATAAATAGTGTCCCTGAACATGTTTGGCTCCAGTGTGAGAAAGGCTGAGCCACTGTTTTGTGTATAAGTATGCAACTAGAGGTCCGCAAGAAAAAGCATGATGCAAATCAATCTTGTTGTTGGCCTATCTCCACCAAATCGCCTCACAAGATATCAATGCTCTTTGGTTTGGGTATTCAAGAAGTAGCTCATTTGTAAAGACAACACTGCAAATATTCCAGTGAGTCCAAAATGAAGGAGTACAAAGCGAGGGCGATGAAGGTTCGTCAAAATGCTCTCTTTGCGGAGTGCTATACATGCAGTCAGGAAACGCAACACGAGAGGACATGTGAGGCTGTGATGATACCATTACTATTTTTTCTATTTTTTAAACAGGACTGCACGATGCCTATGTTGTATTCTGCAGGCTGGCAACCTACAACTCAACAATGCAAGCAAATCGTGGACACTTGCAGTGAAAGGTATGAACCGGCCTTCTCAAGGCATGTGGTTCGAGACCGAGACCGGATTTGGGGGAGAGATCCTGCTTGGGGATGCTTTTCTCACACGCATTTGCGAGTTGTAGTGCCCCGTCCATTGCGGCCTGAGCTCACTTTCCACAGCGTGCTTTGCTTTCCTGCTTGGACTTGTGGCTGGGCTTGGTCTGGTTTTTTTTGCCCCCACAGTCACCTCGTGTCAGGGCAGAGACGAGGGTGTACAAGATCACATGCAGATTTCTACCTCATCACAGGCGACTCCAGGCAGAATGCAAGCTTCCCCTTCTTGGAACAAGCTCTCACCTGGTTCCCTTCATTGAGGTGACCGCGGAGTATGTGATCCTGCGACGGGTCCCCCTTATCGCGGGCCAAACGGTAGCAAAGCTGAATGCATGTTGCTGGCGGGAATCTTGATGTTGGCGAGAGAACAGGACCCGCACTGCGCGTGTATTTTACAGGCCTGGAAAAAGTATCTGGAACTTATAAGCTCTTACGTTTTGGCCCTCTAAGCGTGCCATCTTGCTCGGCGCACTGTGTAGAGATTGACAGGGCGGGGTCCTTTTCTGGTCGTGGTCTGAAAATTGTTTGATCGCCAGTTCACGCGTTTTGCTCGCCGGTTCGGAGGTTCTTTTGGTCGTCGCTTCAACCCCATTTGTAGTTAATTTTCACTGCAGAGGCCTTCATACATAGGCCATAAGAGCACGCCACCCGCTTTGAAGGCGTGCCCTTCGAGACTGTGAATGTTTTGGATGAGGCAAACAACCCTGGCGTGCGGGAGGCAGGTTTGAGAGCGAGATGGTGGGACGCGCTGACCAAGATGTTTACCATAAAGACTTGTGCGCTTAACGGGTATTTGGATGCATACGCCACGGTGCACATGTTTATACATATATTGAGAGAGATACACAATACGCGCGCACTGGATATCGTGCGGTGGAGCTGTTTGGGGTCAAACAGAACCTTGAAAAGACTGCGCAGATTTCAGAGTTTCACGAATGAACGACACCATCGGTGCCTCTAAAATGACTGCATGGTGGCTTCTTGGCTTGCGGCGGTTGCCATTTCAGCTGGATAAGCTTTCAGAAAAGGAACTTTTCTTGGTAGCTTCGTCCCCGTGCCCAGTGAACGCATTCCTTTCTTCAACTCAACCACGTGAGGCAGCAGAATAGCGCGTCAGCATATATCGTCCGAACTCCGGAACCTCTGGAGCTCAACCTGCTGAGGCCCCGGATCCTGCTCCGAAACTTGCACTAGAACCTTCGGAAGCTCCAGAACCTGCTCCGCAACCCTCCTCCCAAACCTGCGCTCCGGACTGGGTCGCTCCGGAACCTGGTCCGGGAGCTGCTTTGGAAGCTGTTGCGGAACTCCTCCGGAAACTGCCCAAGGTTATGCTCCTCATTACAGAGTTTGCTCAACCATTTCAATGTCCTTTTGTGAGGGCCTTGCCTTGTATCGTGATAGACCCTTTATGTACTTTTATTCAATAACTGTCCCGTCTGCAGAGTTGAACTTGTCATGAACTTATCCTTGGTTGATATTTTTGGCTTCCACTCAAGACTGGTGTGTTTTGAGAAGGGGTGGTCTCAATCAAACTGTGTTGTCGACAATGACAAATTGTTTCTCAAGAAAGCCGTCACGGTGAACAACAGGATCAAATTCCGTTGCTGTGGCAGGTGCCACATCAGTTCTGCTAGAAAGGTTTTGGCTTGAACAACCACTACCGTTGGCGCGCGCAGGCGTGGCAAAGTTTTCCCTACTATCTATGGTGCGTCTACAAAGATCGGTTTGGCGGAGCAGTACAATATCAGACCATGTGCGCGAAATAGGTTTGAACGCCCGCAACTTGCCCAAAGTTAGGTCATGCATGCGCATACACACAAACACCCATACACACACATACACACATACACACATACACACAGACACACAGACAGACAGACACAGACACAGACACAGACATAGACACATACATACATACATACATGGCTCAAGCCACGAGTGGTCCAAGCCCGCGGCCCACGAAGACGGGCTGGTGCGAAATTCCTTTGCAAGCATATCCAGGACAACTCTCAGGTCTGATCCTGTACTTCCCCACGTACAACACACTCTTTGCTCGCAATCTTGCTGGACAACATCCACGCTTTGAGTTGCTCTTTTACCTCTGGCAGGTCTCGCCTGGCTACATCTTGGGGATCAGAGGCGGCACTGGCACTTTCTCACAGCTGAGCTCTCTAGCCAGAACGAGATCGGTGCTCTGATCCACCAACCACAGCCTCGATTTTATCAAGGCTGCTGACACGCAGGGCATCCGGGACTAAGACAACCTCCTGGCGCAGAGCATACCAAGTCTGCAGTAAAAGCAGCTGCAGAAATTGGATCTGGCAAGACAAAGTCCAGAGCGGCAACCGCTGTCGCAAGTGCGGGACTTGGTGGATCATCACCAAAGCCAAAGGAAAAGGAAAAGGACAAGGCCATGCAAGCAAAGGCAATGGACCTACATCGAACTCCACATGGCCAAGAAGGACATACCAAGAGGCGCTCATGGACACTCCACCGGGCTTGAACAAGCCCAGACCCCTTCGACGAGGTGACGGCGCTCGTATACGTCAGCAAGAACACAAGAACACCAGACACTCCAGGCAACGAACCTCACCTACAACGAAGACAGAGGGATGCAGCCTTAGCAGCTTGGGAGAGGGCCAATTCACTTCATGACAGAAAGGCCACTGAGTGGCAAGCGGTCCTTGACAAAGATCATGCAGAGATCTACTCCCATGCAGCTGCAAGATTAGCCAAGATCTTTGCTGACAAGGACCACTATCTTCACCAGAAAGCGCCCAGGCATCAAGGACGTCAGACAAAACAACACAAAAAGCAGCTCGTCCAACACTGTCGCAAGCCATGGCAAGCTCCTCACCATAGATGGCGACCACACAGGAGTGGCTACCAGCGCAGCGCATGTGGCGAGCGAGTGCACCAAGCACTCACAGCCTCAACCATTGAAGAAAGGCTGGCGCAACCATCCCTCAGCTTCAAATAGAAGAGCCCAGACAAGCCAATTCAGAAGAAGCTCACAAGAGCCCAAGTCATTGCCGAGAAGCAAGAAAACCAGCAACCGGCCAGCCAGCACACCTTGGAGGAAACTAAGGGTTACCTCCGCTGCGCCACCTGCGGCCGCAGTGTGCGTAAAAGGGCAAATGAAGATGCCTTCCAGGCCTACGTACAGGGTCCATGCGTCAACCAGCTCTATGGCCAGCCACGCAATGGACATGAGAGCCACAGTTTGTGGCAGAAAGGACAACACTGTGGCGCACAAACCCAGGTGGCCAGAACCGGCCAATCATCACCAATGCTCTTCAGAAAAGCTGCAAAGGAGGCACGGCAGCAGGCTCACCACCCATAACTGAGATCTTCAGAAGACAGTCGGCCAAGGCAAGTCAATCTGAAGGCAGCCACACGCCAGCCAACACACAGGCCAAGGCTCCATCAGCTGCAGAGGCAAGGCTACCGACAGAACCCCAGCCACCATCGGTAGACCCGGCATTTGGTAGATCCTCTGAGAGCGCATCGCCATTGGTCCCAAGACAGCTCACCTACAGTGAAGCACCTACCAGCAACACGGCATCAGACCTAACGAACACTCAGTTCCAAAAGGTCATTGGCCTCACAGAGGCCTTCACGGACAGTACACTCACCGAGGCTACTGGCCATGATACCCAGCCAGACCACAGCCAGCTACAGCAAATGCCTACGTCACCAGCAGGAGATCTTCCACACAAGGCCAAAAGGCTCGGAGAGCCTGCACGGTACCAGACAGACCCAGAGGGCAGATCTGATCACGATCATGTCCTCGAAAACTCCGAGAGCAGTGACACACCTGATCCAGAAGTCGAAGTCGATTACTTCTGACTGGACTACCTCCTGGAGCGCCTGCGGCTGGCAGCGGCAGCGGTTCGCAAGGTCAAAGAGCCCACGATTCATGGGCGCAGGGCGTCTGCGCCCACACCCTCCAACTTGGTCAGCTCCACCGCAACAGTGGTCCGCAGAACTAGAGCAGAGCACTCCTCACCACTGGTCCTCTGCCGGTAACGGCCCCCAAAGTGCAACGGGCTGGATGCGCCTCGGTGGAGTCGCGTTGCTTGGTGTTGGCAAATCGTTTCTTGAGAACTGGTAGCCTCCTTCAACGGCCAGCCTGGTGGTCGATGCTGAGGTCCCTCATAACCGTGGCAGTGGGTGGTTCGTCTGGGTGGGATGGCCGCCAATGTGCGGCTTGCATCCGTGGCAATAAAGGCTGTCTTCCGCTGGTTGACCTTCAGGCCTACACTGCAAAGGCGCTGGCGCAAGTCCGTGTATGTATGTATGTATGTATGTATGTCTGTCTGTCTGTCTGTATGTATGTATGTATGTATGTATTTTTTTCCTTGCCTGTGCTCTGGGGCGATAGGGGTGTAGGAGTGGCATTGACGGTGTAGGCGCGCCCTTGGACTTCCACACCCGTGGCCTTGGAGTGGGTGAGTCTGACTGAGACGCTCTTGAGGCTCTGTTTGGTGATTCTCTCTGCCCACTCGGCTGGCATAGGCGTGTGTTGTTTGCCATGGTGCCACTTACAAAGCCAGTCGTGTATGCCTCCGCGCACGCATGGGTTGAAATACTTGCGCTGATCAGCTGATCTTTCGGGAGTTTGCGGAGGACTTTGTTGTACACCGTCCGGCCGAGTCCAGTGAGCAGGTATTGGCAGTGGGGTTTGCTTGCCAACCGCTTGGTTCTCTGGCTGATGGCCTCTTGGTGGAGTTGGAGCCCGATCTTTCACCAGGGGTTGCGCAGGTTGATGAACGCTGCAAATTGGAGGGCAGTTTCAGGCCGGTGCCACTGGAAGAGGTTGGCGGTGTTCCAGCCCCATTCATGGAGGTAGGCAATGGCCGCCGCCAGCGGGCCTTTGACGTGGTAAGGCTGCGCGGTACCTTGGGGCTAGGCCTTGACTCTCAAAAGGATTTCAAGACCTGGCCCATGATGAAGTGAGAGAGGAGGACATCAAACCCCTCACCGTTCCGCAAGGCATCTGGAAATGAAGCCCACTTGCGACGGCGACGTGATGCCGGATTGGCAGCTTGGGAGAGGGCAAAAACCGTCTACAACCGACAGCAAGAAAGCTTGGCAAGCCACCCTGCGTGAGGACCACCTCGAGATTTACCAGCGCGCTGTGGCCCGCCTGGAGAGCATCTTCAAAGCCCCGCGCCAATTTATCCACGAGAAAGCCCCGCGACACCCGGACAAAGCGCCTCGAACAACGCAAGAAGCAACTTATCCAAAGCTGCGCGCAGCCCTGGCAGGAGGGCAAACACAGGTGGCGCAAGCGCCGCAGCGGCTGCAAGTGCACGGCGTGCCGCATCAAGGCTTCACCATTCAGGCCATGGAAACACTACTTCAAGAAGACTGTGACCAGCTCACCGTCGAGACACAAGTGTAGGCTGCCCAGGCCACCACTCCGCAAGTTGCTCGTAAACCCACGTTGCTCGACACGGCAACCCGCCGGCCGACTCACGCCGGCCGACTCGCACCACGGCCTATTATAAAGATCTCCTGGGGCGCCAAGAGGAGCGCCCGCCCACTATAAGGACGAGCGCCATGCGCTGGCTACCTCACATGCATCAAATGCTAACAGTCACAAGGCTGTGGCAAAAAGGTGCCAAAATTCATTGCCTCTCCTGCGGGTTGTGGGCCTCACGTCATCTCCAGGCCCGGCTCAGCCTCAGCAAGACTTTCTTTGGCTCCAGTCCACCCAACCAGGACACCAGCCAAGCAGCCTGCAAGGAACCCAGCCAGTGAGGCCATACTGTTTGGCGACAGCAACCTCAAACCGCAGCGATTGAGTTTCTCCAATCCTGAGGGCAACCCATCAGACCTGACGCCTGGTCACGCATGCCCTGGCCACGGAACAAGCGAACGGCGCAGACATTCTGGGAAAAGAAGAAGCGCCAGGCGCGCATGATCCACCTGTCCATCCAGGCTAGTCATCAGCTCCGGATACGCTTATGGCTTATGGGAGACCATGGCAAGAACCTGGACGAAGACATGTACCAGGTTGATTTCTTCGCCCAACCAAGCGCTGCTGAACTGAGCCACCCGAGCTAGCATCAGGGCAAGCCGCCCTCACCTCGCGCCCTTCAGGAAAATGCGTGCATACACACACACAACACACATACATACACGCACGCACGCGTACATACATACACGCATACATACATTCATACGCGCGTGCACACGCGCGTGTGATTGCGCAGAGATGTATTTTTGCCTGTGTGTTTACATGTACCTATATATATATATATTGTATGCGTTTGCATTACTGGGACTCTGGTTAAGGTGAGGTTTGCTTTCTTCGTGCGTTGCAATTCTTCTTCCTTTCCTTCTGTCCTACTCAGCTACATCTCAGAACACTGCTGACGCGCTGGCGCTGTCCTGGTTGGTGCTCATACCCGGTCAATTCCCACAAGCAACAGGCGCCAGCTGCAACGATTCGAAATTTTTTCTTTGACCAGGCCGTGAAAGAGTTCGGCCAGTGGCCCACGTCGCTCAGCTGACAGAGTTGCCGGCTCTTGAGGTGAAAAAGAAGATCTCAACGTTTAAGCCCTCCCAAGTTGCAGTAGTTGCTTCTTATTATGTTCTCTCAAACACTTGCTTGTTGCCCGATCGGCCCTATCGACAACCATATTGGGATCATAGTCATAGTCGCCCCTGGCAACCCACAGTTCGCGGTTCCCCCCAAGAAAACAAATGCCCTTTGGCTCTTAAGTGGATCAGGCCGCAGTTGTGATTTCAGGCAGGTAGTGGCCCCGTTGACGGAGTTGGTGATTTTTTTTTGCAGTGGACAAACATGTGTATTTTGTCGTGGTGTTTTGGGGATACGCTTGCAACTGGTGTAGAATGCGTAGAGATGGAGAGGGGGCGGACTTGAACAGTCTTGCTCCTGCATGCCCGCATGGGTTGCATTGAACCTACTCACTCAGGATCCCACAGCTCTACGTTGCAGGGCAGCTGGTCGGAGGCAACTCGCTCACAAAACCAGAATATGCACTTTCCTTAGGACTTTGCAATGTGCTTCTAAGACAGAGGAAGAGCCCGACGAACACGATTAAAGGATGCCTTTCGGAAGGCACACGCCAAGCACAAGTACAAATATAGGCCTCAGACAGTGATTGGCTTCGGGAAAATCCCCTGGCCCCCCTTGTGTCCGGGCCGCTACAACAACAACGACAACGACAACGACAACAAACGAACGAACAACAAACGAGCGAACGAGCAAGCTAACGAACGAGCGAACGAAGGAACCAACTAGCGAACGAACTCACCAACGAACGAAGTGAAGTGAATTAGACTCATACTCCTGCCCAAACAGCAACTTGAAGTGTTGAATCACTCTGCCCCAACAGGAAGTTCGCTCCTGTTACAGTTGAAGACAAAATAGACTTGCAACGCGCGACAGATTAAAATCTCGAAGTGCGCTTTGTATTTAACATCCGAGATTGCAAAAAGACAATAGAACATCCTGGCGTTTGAACCTGGCAACAAGTCAACACACTGCGAAAGGCCGAAGATTGCGATAAGTTGGATTTGTGGGTTCCATGTTAGTTGCGAGGGTCACGGCGCTCCAAAGAGAGACACCAAAAATGCTGTAACCACCAGCGCGTTCAATGATTGCATCCCCAGCACGCAGCAAACGCTAGCACATCTGACGCTCAAAACGTGGAAACATATTTTTCTATCAGTTCTAGACTGACCGCCCCACGCGCAATAGTTTGGTTCCTTTCGATGTTCTGTGGGTAGCAATTTTTTCTCCATGGCCATTCTCTTGTCTACTTTCCTCTCCTCTCATGTCCTGCCATCCTCTCTCCAATCGGCCCTGCCACAAGTGTTGTCTCACTCGATGAGCAGACCTAGAATCCGTTGCTGCTGCAGGCGCGGACATTGTCATGGAGATGTACCAGCAGGGTGAGTTGGAGCAGGTTCGGAGCAGACTCCAGTTTGCCTAGCGAAGTCATGCTGGGTTCGAGCCTGTTGTTCACCTGGCTTCAACCAGGCAGGACACATGCCTAACCTAGATGCCAATCGCCCCCGTACCGTTTAGTTACGAACGAATCACTCAGTTGCGCCCAATCTGCGCGCTTTTGAAAATGACCAAAGGCCTTGCGTCTTCGGCGCCGCAATCAAAGAGCTTGCAATCGCGCACTTTTTGTACTTATAGACGTGCCTTTTTCGTTCGCTCGACGCAGATGCTGGTCATGGCCAATGAGGGCGCTGGAGCAACAGGCCAGGTGTTGCATCTACCGATTGTTTTGTTTAAGTCTTCACTGCAGTCGGTTCTAATATCACGCGGCGTCGAAAGGCGCAAGAATACGTGGCCATATTAATTGCGCCAATGTACTGCAGGCTCCACTTTGGCAATCTGGCTCAAGGTGCAAAGGGCATGAGTGTTTTTTCGCGGCGGCGAGAGATCCTGGTGAGGATTGGAAAGCCGGCTATGGGCGCTTTCAGCCGATGTTGCCGAACTAATTCCTGCGCGAGCATCACGCAACGCAGCCTCTCGAGCAGTGACAGAGGGATCGAATTCTCCAGCGAAGCCGCATACGGTGCCAAGATCAGGGCCCTTCAGCAGCTTCATACCAAAAGACCACAGCCAGTGTAGCGCATGGGGTGGATAACGCAGTGACTTGCACGCCTATATATATAGGGAGGACGGCAGGGAGGGCGCAGATGAAGAAAACGTCGCGGCTCTGGCAAACTTGAGCGGCGCAGGGCTGGGATGGACGCACCATCCGCGGACAAGTTCCTGAAATTCAACCTATTGGACACTGGAGCGGTTGAGGTAGCCACGCCAAACAGACGGCAGAGCGAGGGGAGTGGGGCGGCGCTCAGGCGCCCAGTCAAGCATGTGAGCTTCAGAGCGCCAACACGCCCTAATGCGGCTAGATAGGAGCGTGGGCTGACGTTGCGAAGAACGAGGCGACAGTGCGCGCGGCACATCGGACATGGCTCGAAGAAGATGGTTAGGGGGACTATCTGTTGCAAGGTTGGAACGAACCCTCACCGTGCGCAACCAAGTTTGTTGCAAGCTCCTCTTCTGGATTGCAGCGAGCCATCCATGGTTGCAGGCGAGCGGGCTGGCAGAGGACGCCAAGTTGATGCGCAGGCTGGCTATCTTCGCTCAAGGTGCGAAGGGCCGACGATCGAGGATGCCCAGAAAGGAAGCTATTTTGGAAAGAATGCTGAGGGCCAGGGCTTGCCAGACAAGAAGGATGGATGCTTCATAACAGCGGAGGGCGTACGAGAGGGCGCATCTTGCGCAAAAAAGGGCAGCGCTTCCGCGCGCAGGGGCACGACGAGCAACAGTCGCCAGAGCAACGCGCGATTGAGACACAAGTTGGAGGGCTGTTTCCCCCACACCCTGTTGGAGGCCAGTAGCTGCTGCGTTCCATGGGGGCGCGCGGTGAGCTTCCAAGCCTGAAGTTAGCCCTGGGGCCCGCTGCGGCAGCGCTCAGTGACTCAGCCAAAAACAGGCGAACCTACATCGATGCGCAGACGCAACCAGAAGGCAGAATTTGATGCTCGCAACCGAAAATGTTGCCAATCCCACCATAGAGCGCGGCGCGGTGTAGCCTCAGTCTTCTTCCACTGCCTGGACCTGGACTTGAGGGTTTTGGTGTTAGTGGAGACAAACATCTGCAGGAGATGGTCGTGGAACCCATTGCCGACTCTGGGCCGAATGATGAGCAGACGCTGCAGAACCTGGCTCGAAAGATGGTGACAGCTATATGTGAGGCAATCTAGCCAGACCGTCTGGCATCTGTCAACGCGCTTGAAGAAGTCCGTCTCCCAACTTTGCAAGGATGTATTCAATGTATTCATCACAAGCGCGGCCCACAAAGGCGCCAGCCCTGATACAACGATCGACCACCCTTGCAGAGTGCGCGTGTGTTTCGGGGTGACTGACTTGCCTAGCGGAGTTGGACTTGAAGGCTCAGCGCGGCCAGCGGGCGACAGTGTCCAGGTCGATCGCAAAAGCCTGCGACCAAGTCGGTTAGACATGAAGGAGGCTGTGGATGAACTCTATATGTCAACGTCTTAATTCTTAAGTGCTGGTGAGCGGGCTTGGATTGAATGCAGGATGCCAAAAGTAGTTGGCCAGGCGGCCAGACTCCGCTATGTCCAGCATGAGAACAGGGGTTCTTGCCTGTAGATTCTTTACTTCAAAGAGGCGGTTCAATCCTCTTCGTGAGAAGCGTGCTTAAAGATACCATGACCAGCTTTCCATGAGCAGCCAAGCCCTTACCAGTAGCTAACATCACTGAATGACAAGGCATGACAAAGCCATGGGCAAGCAGATTCAGCCGCATGTTTTCAACTGCTCGGTTTTCACGACCAGGGGACGCGAAGGGCAAGTCTTCCTCTTCGGCAGAATATGCTACAGGCCGTGGGTCGGTTGATGAGCGGCTAAGAAAATGGGAGAAGCCGCCAGCAATAGAAGTCAAAGTGCTCTGAAATCGGTTCCTGCATCCTTGTGTGAATCCACTATCTGCCCCGAGCCCTCTACTTTGTAGTAAAGACCAGGCCTGACCAACTGAAAACCACAACAACACCAACCCACGCAGAGCCACTATAGAATGACGAGCTACATATCCCAAAGATCATTGAAACGTCAAATAAACCTCCATTGAAGGTTTATCCTTTAAGCTCTTACTCAATAAACCGTGAATTCACTTTTTTTAAGCTCTCAACAAGCCTTGAGCCTGACCCCCCTAGCCCCTAGCCCCCGAATCATCCCATGAAAGTCCCCTGGACTAATCAACAACAAACCAACCGGCATGGGTGGTCCAGAAGAAAGAGCCGGTAGTCCCATAGAAGTTGAAAGCAGTGGGATTCATTTTTTAGGAGTTTAGATCATTATTTTTCAGGACCTTGTTGCTGTCAACATCTAAATTTTTCTCAAATGTCCAAATATTTTCTGGTGGTTCCTGGTGTCCCTGGGTTGTTCCTACCTGTATTCTAGCTGGAGGGAGCATGTGGTCTTATAGAATTTGATCTTTGTTGGGTGGGGAGATGTAGCTCCTCATTCTATAGTGGCTCTACATGGGCTGGTTGGTAGGTTTGTCCTTTCGGGGCTTAGTAAGGGTTTGTGTCCTTTGGATATTGGTGGTCCAGAAAAGAATATAGCCGGTGGCCTTATCAAATTTGAAATATGTTTTGGGAGACTGGATTATTATGCTATAGCGCCTTATTCCTCACTGTCCTCAAATTTCACCGAATTGTTTGGTAGTGGACTTGTAGAATGTGACTGTTTTTGGGTAGAAAATGCTGTTTGCTGTTCTGTAGTGGCTGTATGTGGAGTAGTGTCCTTTTGGCTTTCCCGTTGTTGAATTCATACCTGTCCGGAAAACTGCAACATACTTGATCATATGTTCCAAGATACTTCATGTAGATGCAAATATGCAAGTTCTCTTTCCAAAAACTACTTCTATGCATCTCAGAAAAAATTGCACATTCTGTTTTAATAAGGCGTCCAGGCTTTCAATTTGTTGGATCAATACAACAGACAAATCTCTATAGAATATCAGAATGGATCAGCTATCAAAGGCAATTCACCACAAATTTCTAAGAAAACAAAACAGTGATTTCTCTGCAGAATCCTGTGGCGCTGTTTCAATTCCCTTCCCGCAGTCATAGAGAAAGGTAAGTTAGTCTAAGGGCGTTCTGCTAGTGGGCCAAGGGGGCAAGTGGCCAAGGCTGTGATGAAAGGCCAAAGTCGTGCATATTCAAATTGGAGCAAGAAAGTCGGCACCGTTCTGCGGCCCCCCCCGTACAAAACATTGTATATTTCAGCAGAGAACTAAGTACCAAAGTCCGATCTCCAGTCAATGCTGATTCTTGCAGTGTGCCTGCCCAGTGGCAGCCCAGAACTGAACTTGTAGATCCGGTTCCTCAAGTCTCAAAGGTGCGTCAATCGCTTTGCGCATTTTCTTTGTTTGTCAGTTGCTCAACGTCAAAACCCTACGTACTTGTTCCATGCGCGTTGAAATAAGTTGGGACATGACAGGAAGATCATTCCAGGGCTTTTCTCATGTTTGATGCGTTTGCTACACATCGCTCTTGTGGACTTTGTGCCCCATTGCACTTCACTATGTATCGCAGTAGACATCATTACTCTTCATGGCACCTTAGTGTATTGGTGTTGTTTCCCGGACACATCATGATTTATACTTATACGTTGTTATGTTTCATGGTCGCCATTTGAATAGTTTGGAAGACTCAAACGCAGGCAACGTCAAACTCATCGACGACCCAAACAGGCCTGATGGCTAGAAGCCTGTTGTTTGAGGATGCTGCTGTTTTGGGACAGGGGACAGGACATGTCCAATGTTGTAAGATCAAAAGATAGTGGCGGGAGCACAGACAGCTCTTGCACAGTTTGGCAATGAAGCATGCAAGGTCTTGCCGGGAAAAACGAAATGTTCTGGAATTGCAGCCTCCCAGCTATTTGCCTTTTGCCACAAAGGCCAACGGCCACTGATCTTTGCAGAGCCCTAGACGCCGGGCTTTAATGTCCCGCATATACCTCAGCTTTGGACCCTACAGGGATGTCCTACAAAGTGCAATTTTTGTTTGAAGAAGTTTACAACGCCATGCGCGGGTGGAGGTTTGATGAGTGGGGATGTAGAACCACGTACAAAGCCAATACATGAATACGTGGACATCAATGGAAGAATTGGCGACTCGTGGCAATTCAGCGGATGTATGGTCTGGAGGACATTGCTGTGATGCACCATAGTTAGGTTTGCATCATTGGTCATTGAACCTAAAATGAACTGTGGCGTGGGTTCTGAGGTGGGTTTTCAGGTCGACTTGAATTTTGATTCTGAATGACCGATGGCCTGGTCATGCTCATAATTCGAACCGAGACAATCATCCCACTACAGCCCAGGCCCTGGCAACCAGACTTGATTGTGTGACTGAACTCAACAACACAAGGCTTGCAATCTGAGGACAAGAGCTTCGCCCTTGTGGACTTGAAGGTAGTGGACGAATCAGTTTCTTGCCTGAAAAGTGGTGGTTTTGCAGAGTCTTCAAGCCACTGGCAGCGAGGGTTGCGGCAATTTTGCCAATCTACATTATCAGTCCCTGAACCATCCTGAACCGATTTGGTCGCACAGTCTCCATGCCTTCGGGCATTTGTGCTACAGCTTTGGATACCATTTGGCTATTCATTTCATGTTCAATTGTTAATCGTTTTTGGATGTCAGGTTTCACGCCCGTCAGTCGGCAACTCAAAATCGCGACAAATTGCAACGCTTTGTTGGGCTTTTCCTCGCAACTGATTGGCAACGAAGCCTTGAAGGAAACGGACCAGAACTGCCAACAAAGCCAACGAAATATAGAACAAACTAAAGGCCCAAGTGAAATGCAATACGATCTTGAAGGACCTTTCAAACCTACAGGCTGCGCATTGCATCCACAGAACGGGTTTGAGCTTGGGCTGGATTGACAACTTCAAACAGACACGCGTTGCCAATGTCTTTGCGTTTCCCGAAGCAATTTACTGTTTTTCCTTTCTCGGCTTACTCCAAAGCGAACGTGAGACTTAGAGTCGGGGGCAAGTCGAAGAAAGATGGGCTGCTTGCGTTCGCAAGTTGGAAGGGAATGAGATTTGCAAGCCTGCTCTGATATTTGCACAAAGTAGAATATCAATGACTAATGCTGCGAAGCTTTTGAAAGGCCCTTGGATGTCCCCTTTTCCTTTCGACTCGGATTGCTTCCTGCGGGGTCTTTGTGCGAATTTATGTGTTTCTGGCCCTGGCATGGTTGGTTCCCTGACGGCGCATGAGTGAAAACGAGTCCCTTTGTGTTTGAGTTGCTGGTTGATGTTTCGCCTTGGTCAGGCATCAGTCCGGGCCCTGAGGCTCAGTGATGCAGGATGAAAATTACACCTTGTCCGCTTTGTGTGCTAGATGGCCACCCGTGGCGTTTCCGTCTTGCCTTGTCCAGGGCTTTGTTGAAGGCGTTGTCCACTAGATGGGTATGCAATTATCGAACGAAGGTATATAACAATTAATGAATGTGTATGTACAGGTGTGGTGCTTCACGAGACTCAAAAGGTAGTTCGTCACGATAGCTTGTTTGGCATCGATATATATAGTTTATGAGTTTCATTTACGAAAAGCCGTAATCCCAACCTCCCACACAGGTGGGTCCGAAACCAAAGTGGATCGAATTGGTAGAATTTGTCTTAGCATGTCTTGGCACAGGAGCACACACAACAAAAAACAGGATGCATTGTTTTGATGAATTTCCATATAGTGTCTTGCGCGGGCGCTGCACGAAGACTGTCAGCTAAAGCTTGAAAGGAAAGGTCAGTGTTCTTGTCTGTCTGATTTCTCTGGCATGTTTGTTCTCATGCACTTTGGTTTTATACTGATGGGTTGGCTGATACTCCTTTGGTTCCTGCAATATGATTGGCAGGTTGGCCGTATATTCGTGCGCTCGTCACATTTGCTAGGTGCACAAAAGATGGCGGGCGCCAAATTTGTTGCGGTAGTACTTTTGGCTTCTCACGCAGCTACAAAAAAACTTTCCAGGGAGAGGCCGGCAAACAAATTCTTGAGAACGCACTTGACAATCAGAGATTCGAGAATCGAGATTCGAGATTCGAGATACGCGATTTGAGATTCGAGATCCGAGATACGCGATTCGAGAT